CCCCGCCTCGCCCGACTCACCCGTCCGCGCCATGACGCCTGCTGAGGCGGAAGTGCTGGAGCGCCGGCCGACTAGGACGCCAGCCTAGTACTGGTGGCACCGGGAGTGGAGGGGCCCCCGTGAGGAGCCAGCGTGGATGGCTCGGGAGAGCCGGATGCCCCGCCCCCTTCGCATGGCTGACCCCGCGCTGCTTTAAAGATGTTTGCTGGCGGGAGGAGGGCCTGCTGCTTAATGTCATAGCCGCCAGTGTGATATCAGCACGAGCCAGTGTGACACCCACCAGAGATCGGGCCGCACCTGCGGAGGCGCGCCTACTCGGGAAGCCCTCCTGCTGGTGAGGAGGCGCCTCAGCGTAGGTTGTAATGTTCCAGTTGCCATGTAGAGATGTTTCAGCTGCCTGACGTCGGAGAACAGAATCTGCATGCCTCCATGTGACGCTTCAGGACCTCGCCCATTGCCGCCTTGGAAACCGAGATTTGCATCGTTGTAGGTACCATCCAGTCAGTACCTGCTCATAGTGACCTGATATACAGCAGAACCAAATAAACCCTGCCGGGTTCTGCGCCAGCCTCACAACTCGTCTCCTGTTTGAACCCATTTCTTGCAGCCACTGTCAATCCACCTCGTCCTGGGCCTTCCTCTCTTTCGATGCCTCTCCACTTGACCAAGTATGATGGCCCGTCTCTGGGGAATGGCCTCTCGATACCATGTCAAATTATGTAAGACTAAGTCTTGCCATCCTCGGCTGGAAGGGGCGTTCTGGCTACTACTTCCAAGATAGATCTGTTTGTTCTTTTGGCAGTCCACGGTAATTTCAATATTCTTCGCCAGCACTGTAGTTCAAATGCTTCCATTGTTCAATGTCCAACTCTGACTGCATATGAGACGACTGAAAATACCATAGGTTGGGTCAGTCATACCTTAGTCCTCAAAGTAACATTCTTGTTCCCCAACACTTTAAAGGAGCCTCTTTAGAGTAGTGGTTACATGTTGGGCCCCTTACCACAAAGTCAGCAGTTCAAAACCACCATCAGCAGCTCTGTGGGTAAAACACAAGGCTGTCTACTCCTGTGAAGTAGAAACTTACAGTCTCAGAAACTCACAGGGCCAGTTCTACCCTGTCCTATAGGGTCACAAAGAGTCGGAATTGACTATGGAAGTGAGTATATCTCCATTAGAAAATGAGAAACAATAACCAGATACAGAATATAATCCCTCAAAGCATAGTGAGTGGGGAATGGCTACAGAGTGGTACTCGGGAGACAGTGCACAAAATGCTAGGAAAGGGAATACTTCAAGCAATTAGTTAACAGTTACCATCTATCTCCCAGCACCAAGAGATTCTGTCAGATTTAAGATAATACTTTCTGCTATATAAAATGTTCTGATCCCTAAAGTGGGGGGCATTTTTAGGTAGGCTAGGTGACACACTGTTCTCTACTGTTGTTATTATTGGGTTTTCTTCAGTCAATTCTAACTCATGCCATCTGTTTGTACAACTGCCCCGTCCTGTCCTATCCTCAAAATTGTTGTTCTGTTTGAGCCCATTTTTGCTGCCACTGTGTCAATCCAACAGAGTTCTGGTGGCATCGTGTTATGAGTTGGGTTGCTAAGTGCAAGGTCCACATTTTGAAACCACCAGTCCCTCCGGAGGAGAAAAACGGCTTTCTACTCCCATAAATATTTAGTCTCAGAAACTCACAGGGGGCCGTTCTCCCTTTCCTATAGGGTCGCTGTGAGTCAACATTGACTCTATGCCAGCGAGTTTGTTTGTTTGTTTGTTTGTTTTGATGTTAACCCATGTCATTGGGGATCTTCCTCTATTTTTGTGACTCTCTACTAAGCATGATGACCCTCAAGAGATTGGACCCTCTAAATGATACGTCCAGAGTACATGAGACAAAGTCTACCCACCTTCCCTTCTCAAGAGCATTCTGCCTTACTTCCTACGGCACAGATTTAGTCACTCTTCTAGAGGTCCATGGTATATTCAGTAATCTTTGGCAACACCATAATTCAAGCCCATTGGTCCTCCGGTCTTCCCTCATCTTTGTCCAAATTTCACATGCATGTTGGGTGATTGAAAATACCATGGCTTGCGGCAGGCGCGCCTGAGTCCTCAAAGTGGCAGCTTTGCTTTCTAGCACTTTAAAGAGGTCTTTTGTAGCACATCTGCCCCACTACATTGTTTGATTTCTTGACTGGCTGCTTCCATGGACATTGATGTGGATCCAATTAAAATGAAATACTTTGCAACTTCAATCTTTTCTCTTTTTATTGTGCTGCTAGCTAGCTATTAAAAATGCTACTTGAGTATTTTTGTTTTCTTTATAATGAAATATAATCCATACTGAACACGATAGTTTTATCTTTATCGACAAGTGCTTCAAGTCCTCTACTTTTAGCAAGCAAGTTTGTGTCATTTGCATATGGTAGGTTGTTATGAATCTTCTTCCAGTCCTGATATTTCATTCTTCTTATAGTCCAACTTCTCAGTTTATTTGCTCAGCAAAACATGAAATAAACATGGTAAAAAGATATAACCCTGATGCATACCATTCCTGAATTTTAACCATACAGTATACCCTTGCCCACTTCAAACTGCCTTTTGGTCTGTGCACAGGTTTGACATGAGCACAGTTAAGTGTTCTGGACTCTCCATTCTTTACAACATAATCTAGAATGTGTAATGAGCCACATAGTCAAATATATTTTCAGAGTTAGTAAAACATAGGTAAGCATCTTGCTGGCATATCCTGCTTTCAGCCAAAATCCATCTGACATTAGTGTGTTAGTCTGAGTTGAGTATAAAAACAAACTCATAGATATTTATATGTATGCAAGTAAGAGCTTTATAGAGAGTAATTTTATATATTTTTTAAATTCCAGCCCAGTCCAGATCAAGTCCATAAGTCTGCTATTAGCCCATATATCCAATACCAGTCTGTAAATTCCTCTCCAGACTCACACAACACATGCAATGATGCCAAATGCAGGAAGATCACATGCCAGTGGGTGGAAAGTCTTGTGGATACAGTGGTGGTAGAAGCATCTCAATGCTGGCGTGGGTCTCCATGTGCCCCCGCCAGCTCTCTGAGTATCTCAACAGCAGGACAGGGAAGGCAGAGAGAGTGGGTCTGGCCTCCAGTGAGCCATTTATCTTCATAGCACTTCCAAATTTGGTCATCAAGCTGCGACTTGATTGACAGGCTAGACTCCACCCCTTTGCTCAAGTTGGCAGGAGATTATGTAACTGCCCCAATTAGCAGTAACATCCCTTACTCCACATCCTCTTCTGAATTTGACTTGAATTTCTGGCAGTTTCCTGTCAATGTACTGCTGTAACCATTTTTTAATTCTGATAAATTTTACTTATCTGTGATATGATGTTCAATAATTTCTGTATACTGTTGGGTCATCTTTCTTTTGAATGGATACAAATACGGATCTCTTCCAGACCGCTAGCCAGGTCATTGTATTCCTTTTTTTTTTTTTTTTTTCACCATCTAAACACAATTTTAATTTTATACCACATCACAGACACACACATAACATCTAAACATTTTCATTTTCTCTGGGGGCCACAAATCCACTGTTTCACTTCCTTGCAGTGTTCTTCAGTGGCTGAGACTGAGGGAAGAAACTACTCCATCACCTGGCTGAGACGTGGACAAACTGTTTTCAGGATCAATGAGGATGAGTCTCAAAGCAGACTTAACTGCCATCCAGTCCGTTCCCAGTCACAGCAATTGCATAATGGAACTCCTCGTGTAGGCTGCCAAGCCTGGGAGTCTCTCAATGGCATTAGAAAGCCTCATCTTTCTGGACCCTGGGAACAGCTGGTGGTTCCAGCTGGTGATGTCATGATCAGCAGACTCACCGGCAGGCTGCTAGCGTCTTTCTTAACCTCCTGTAGATGCTTTCAACTCTGAGGAGCCTTCCTGTGGAGCTGAAGAGAAAATGAGATGGGAGGGGAATAAAGCCATTGGGGTGCTGATAAAGTTGCAGGAGGTGTTAGATTCCTCCGGTGGAAAATGCCTCGGTCCTTGGCTTCACATGAGAAAGAAGTCACGCTGATGCCTAGTTTGTGATCCAAGTGGGTTTCTATAAAGGATAGACGCAGTTTCAGGCGTTACAGGAACTGAACACAAGCACCCTCATGGCACTGCACACCCACGTGGA